GAGGAAGGTCCATTGACAACCTGCAATATGCAGATGACACAACCTTGCTTGTTGAAAGTGAAGAGAACTTGAAGCACTTACTGATAAAGATCGAACACTATAGCCTTCAGCATGGATTACACTTCAACATAAAGAAAACAAAAATCCTCACAACTGCACCAATAAGTCTAGTTATCATATGCTAAAGGACCAACAAGTCCTTAATCGTATGCAAAATCATATGATAAACAGAGACAATATTGAAGTTGTCAAGAATTTCATTGGATCCACAATCAACGCCCATGGAAGCAGCGGTCAGGAAATCAACGCATCTCACTGCGCAAACCTGCTGCAAACAGACCCTTTTAAAATGTGTAAACACAGCTTGGGGGCAGGGTCTGACCTCCTCCAACCTCACAAGGGGGAAGGAGAACCAAGACCAACAGCCCAGGGCTGATTCCTGTGAGGCGGGGGTCAGATAAGCCTCCTCTCTCCACCATCTTTACCAATTCTGACACCAACTGTCCCCCGCCACAGCACTCTCTACTTCTCTGCTGGGTTCGATGGTTCATTGCAATGGTCACACAGAACTCACAGACCACACACAATTACCGGGTTTATTAGGGAAGTAACAGTTACAATTCAGGCTCAGGAACACGCAAGATACAGTTCTTTTATCAGGACAGCCTCTTCCTGGCTGTGCTGGCAGGCACACCTCTCCCTGGCCCTAAGCCTCTCTCCAAAGGCACTCAGCTTTCTCTCTCTGTGGGCCAGGAAGACCACCGGGCTGTCTCCTGCTGCCGGGTCTCTCCTGCCATCACTTCTCACCATCTTCACGGTTATAGCCTGCTCTCTCTGTCTCCTGCCTCCAGGAGCTTCTCAGCACAGGGATCACGGGTCCAAAGGGTGCACTCCCCGCTCCTGGCTGTTCTTTCTTGCTGGTAGTAGGATCCTCCTCTGCTCTGGGTGGGAGTTACAAGACCATGGCTAGAAAGGCCACACAAAAGTAATCAATTGCACCACAAAGTGTTAAAAAGCAAAGATGTCACTTTGAGGACTAAGGTGTGCCTGACCCAAGCCACGGTGTTTTCAATCGCCTCATACGCATGCGAAAGGTGGACAATAAATAAGACCGAAGAAAAATTATGCCTTTGAATCATGGTGTTGAATATAGCATGGACTGCCAGAAGATCGAGCAAATCTATCTTGGAAGACGTATAGCCAGAATGCTCCTTAGAAGGGAGGATGGCGAGACTTTGTCTCACGTACTTTGGACATGTTATCAGGAGGGAGCAGTCCTTGGAGAAGGACATCATGGTTGGTAAAGGAGAGGGTCAGCAAAAAGAGGAAGACCCTCAACGAAATGGACTGACACAGTGGCTGCAACAGTGGGCTCAAACACAGCAACGATTGTGAGGATGGTGCAGGACTGGACGGCGTCTCGTTCTGTTGTGTGTGGGGTCACTGCGGGTCAGAACTGGCTCCACGGCACCTACCACCACCACCTGGATTAGTGTTTAACTAAAAACTGGCCTAGCCAATTTGACACATAAAACCATTACTGAAAGCTATTTGACATTTTCAGTTTCTACAGTGGAAGATGGGCTCTTCCTTACAAGGTAGGGGATACAAATATTGGAAAAATGGACAAAAAGATGAAAAATGTGCATTGCAGGGTACTCTGTGGGCCTCTCAAAAATCAGCACATACCCTTCTTGCCATAGAACGTCTCTGTCGAACATTTTCACGAGTTTCATCGCCATCTGCTACGGGCTACCAGAGTCTCCTTCCTTAACTGGAATTCTACTTCCTGGAGCCCCGGCCATGCTAGATAACCTGGTCCCCCGTTTCCTTCTCCTCCTTCCTTCCTCTCTTCATTTCCCAGCGTGTCTCTTGGCCACAGCTACTCCAGGGTACTAGTTTTCTCATCAATTCGGGTTCGGATATAAGCCAACAGGAACGAAATTTGGCTAATTTGATGAGAAAATGACTTACTGAAGAATACTGACTAGTTCAAGAATCTCCAGGCGGGCTGGATAACCCCACTCAGGCCACTGAATTAGACTCCACTGCCACAGCCACCAGGAACAGACCCTGCGGTTAACACTGGCACCCCCACCAAGCTGGACCCTGACCACCACCACTAAAATCATGGCCACGTTGCCACCCTCCCCAGCGTGGCGTCAGCTTCATTCAAAATTGGGGGTAGGTCGTATTGTCCGTTCCCTGGTTACAGGAGAGGGCGGAAAGCAATGCTTGGCGTTTTCAGCGTCTGAAGTGGGACACAGGCTCTGCTTCATGATCGACTCCCCGAACGAAGAAGGGAATTTATATGCTGGACAGCCAAAAAGACTGTCAAGACTGTTAGTGTTGTACTTGGAGCCTGCTATGGATTGAATTGTGTCCCCCTAAAAATGTGTTGTCAATCCTAACCCCTATGCCTGTGGTTGTAATCCCAGTTGTCTTTGTTATGTTAATAAAACAGGATTAGTGTAGGGTGTTCTTGAGTCAATTTATTTTGAGATATAAGAGATTAAACAAGCAAGCGAGAAAAGCAGAGATGGGAGAAGAAAGATGCTAAGCCACACGAAGATCATCCAAGAGCAGAAGCTCAGAAGAGACAAGGATCTTCCCCCAGAGCTAACAGAGAGAGAAAGCCTTCCCCTAGAGCTGGCACCCTGAATTTGGACTTCTATTATCCTACACTTGAGAAAATGAATTTGTTTGTTAATGTCACCCACCTGTGGTATTTCTGTTACAGCAGAACTAGACAACTAAGACAGAGCCCCATGTGTAAACCTGTAACATTAGTAATCCCTGAATTATCTCATCCCTTTCCCTTCCATCTTCCTGAGTTTGCAATCAGTAGCACAGAATTTGACATAATTTAAAAAGGACAGTGAGCTATGCTGATGTTTGAAAAGCTAAGCTCTAACAAGCACAGAGCCACCTCTGGAAACCCTTTCTAAGTTACTCAGATCCTGAAATGAAATGGCATTTCATGTTGCTGCTTCGAAGTATTCGGTCAGAAGCACAGAAGGAAAGAAAGGGCAAAGCAAGAAATCAAGCCCTGAAATATGAGTGGAGCTCAACCACGTGCCAACAGGACTCTTCTTTCTGTTTGGTTTAGAAGGGGGGAGTCTGAGAGAATGAAGGAAACACGGACAGTACAAGCAGAGAGGGACTGTGATGGGAAGGAGTGAGCGAGCAGTGGAGCGAGAGCAGCAGAGTGGAAACGTTAACTCCGGGGCGTACAATGACCAAAGAGAAGCGCTAATATCCACTTCTCTTAATTTTCTATTTAATGAATGATACAATTTCATCTGATTCTTACCAAAATAAAAAAGACAAGGGCTGGAATCAGAAATGTTTCCTTTTGTAAGGAAACACTACACGCTCAGGAAAATATAAAAGCCCTTCTTGTCTTTCATCTGATGGGGAGGATGTTAGTGTGGAATGCAAAAACAGGTTCTTCCAAATGTGGAAGAGTTTATTGTGATTCTGGAGAATGGTTCAACACTGGGAAATCTCTGTGGACAGTATTTAGTACATTTATGGGCTACTGGAGTAAAAGCTACATCTCAGAACATGTCAAAAAGTATATAATACCCAATATCCATTTCCAACAGTAGATTGAGAGAGAAAATTTTGACTTCTCAACTGCAGTCAGTTCCGTTCACTTCTTTAAAAAAAAATTTGAGATCCTATGATATTGCAAACTTTCTATCAGGCCTCATAGAAGTTGCAAAAACAAACAAACTGGTCTACACTCGGATGGCTTGCAATCTCTGCGAGAAAACACAAGGCAATCACAGGAGAAAGGAGTGAGCGGTGGGTCATCAGAAGGACTGTACAGCGCTTCTCACACTGTTTGGAAATTATTTGTCCACTCTTCTCACATCCCTGGGACATGTTATCAGGAGGGACCAGTCCCTGGAGAAGGACATCATGCTTGGTAAAGTAGAGGGTCAGTGAAAAAGAGGAAGACCCTCAATGAGATGGACT